GCCCCCTCCAGCAAACCCCGCCCCCTCCGGCAAACCCCGCCCCCTCCCCACCGCCCCAAAACCCGGCGCGGTTTTTTTTTGGGGGTTTTTTTTTTTGGTTTTTTTGGGTTTTTTTAATAAATTTATTCACAAAACCCCCCGGGGCCGCGCGGGCAGCGGCCACACCCCCCGAACCCCCCCTTCCCGCGGGGCTCCGGGGGTCAGGGAGGGGGTCCACCCACCCCACCCACCCCCCAAAACCCCCGCGGTGGGTCCGGGCGGGCGGGGGTCTCAGGCTCTGCGGCCGGGGGGCTCCTCCAGCTCGTAGAACAGCACGTAGCCCTCGCTGGACGGCACCTGGTTCTCGCTGATGGGCGAGACGCTGCGGGGACCACCCTCAGCACCCCGCGGAGGAGGCTGGAGGGGGGTACCCGGGCGGGGTGTTGGGGCGGGGGTACCCGGGCGGGGTGCTGGGGAGGGGGGACACTGACCGCGAGTCGTTGTAGACGCGCCAGCCGGCGGGGTCGCGACAGAAGGCCGTGTAGTGACCGTAGTGGACGCTGCCCGAGTGGTTGCACAGCGCGTACAGGCTGTACACGGGGCTGCCTGCGGTGGGGAGGGGGAGATGGGGCTGAGACCCGCCGCCCCCCGCCCATCCCAACACAAAAACACCCCGAATTTTCCTCCCCACAGCTCCTTTTTCAGCTTTTTCGCTCACCCGCCTTCTCGCTGGCGAATTCCCGCAGGTTGAGCTGCTGCAGCGGGAAGTCCACGAAGACGGAGCATTTCTTGATGGAGTAGCGCGTGGTGGAGAAACGGTTCAGGTCTGAAAAAAAAGGGTTAAGGGAAAACGGGGGGGCCCTTCTGGTGCCCTCCACCACCCAAAAAACCCCGGCACAAATCTGGGGAGGGGGTCCCCGAGCTGATTGCCAAAGGATACGGAGCACCAGGATGCGTGGGAAGCGCTGGATCGTCAACTTCTTGGTGCTCCGCGTCCGCTGCCGGCACTTGTCACACACCTGAGGGGCAGGGGGGCGGTCAGGGAGGGGCTGGGGGCCGAATTGGGGTCTCTGGGGTGGGGAGGGGGGGGGGGGTCCATCCTCTCACCGGGGCGTTCTCCGAGTCCAGCTCCTCCTCCTTGGTGAAGAGGCTGAAGCAGTCGTGCAGCGACACCTTCCCCCCGGCAAAGCTTTTCTGGAGGGGGGGAATTTGGGGAGGGGGTCAGGGTGGGGTTTCAGGGGAGGTCTGAGGGGGTTTTTGGGGTGTCAGGGTGGTGGGGGGCTGCACCCCACCCTTACCTTTGGGATGGGCAGCGAGAGGTCGCAGAACACCTCGAAGGTGGTGGAGCGGTAGCCGCAGGCCTGGCACTTGAGGCAGCTCTTCAGCTGCCCCACAAAGAGATCTGGGGGGGCAAAATGGGGTCAGGGAGGGCACCCCCAGAGGTTTTCGGGGTTCTGGGGAAGCTGAGGACACCCCCCAACACCCCCACTCACCCACAATCTTGCTGTCCTCCCTCTCCAGGTAACGCTTCCACATCTGGTTGGCGCGTTCGTCGTCGCTGCGGGATCGGAGAGAGAAAAAGGATCAGCACCCCAAAAATAAAACCGGGGATCCCCCCCCACCCCCTCTCTCCCCACCAACCCCTTCCCTCCACGCCTCACCTGAGCGTTTCGGGGTCCTCCAGGGCCGGGGGTCTCCGTGCATCCGACAGGATGCTGGGGGTGCGCCGGCCCTTCCTGTTGATCTCCACGTGCAGCCGGTCCATGAAGAACTTGAGGAATTCCTGCGCGTCCTGCTGGCTGTGGGGACGCCCCGTGACCGCCTCGCTCCCCAAAAGGGGGTCCCCAAAAAGCTTTTTGGGGAGTGGGGGTCTCACCTGTAACCCGTGAAGGAGGGGACGTATTTTTGGAACACGGCTTTGAAGCGCCCGGGGTTGACGGCCTCGGACGAATCCGGGTGCCAGAGGGCGGCGATGACATCGGCGAAGGCTGCGGGGACGCGGCGGCGGCGTCAGCGCCCCGGGGAGGGGGTTTGGGGGGTTTGGGGGGGGGGTTTTGCGGGGTCTGTCCCACCTTCGGTGAGCTCCTGGGGGGCGCGGGGGCCGGGGGGCTGCTCCTGCTGGAAGTCCCGGCGCAGGCAGTAGTCCCGCAGAGGTTTGGTGCTGCTCAGGCACTGCAGCACCGCGTTCATGAAGCACTGCGGGAGGGGAGGGGGTGACACGGGGGCGTCCTGGCATGGGGCAGGTCCCCCCAGGGGTCCCTCGGGGTGTCCCCGCTGCTGTCCCGGGTGACCTGTGGGGCTGGGAGTGTCTGGGACAGCGGCAAAGAGTCTGGGGGACGCTGAGGTGACCCCCGGGTGACACCAAAGGGACCCCAAATCCCTCCTGCAGCCCAGGACAGAGGGACAGGAGGGCTGGGGACAGTGGGGACAGCGCTGTGGGGCTGGGGGACCTCTGGGAATGTGACATCCCAGCAGGACAGGGGGACGGGACCACGGCCACCGAGCCTGGGGGACCCCGAGGTGACAGAGGGGACCCCAAATCCCTCCTGCAGCCCAGGACAGAGGGACAGGAGGGCTGGGGACCTTGGGGACAGCGCTGTGGGGCTGGGGGACTTCCCCAGCAGGATGGGAACGTGGCACTGCAAGCCTGGGGGGCTTCGAGGTGACCCTGAGGGGACCCCCAGGTGACCGTGAGGGGACCCCCAGGTGACCCTGAGGGGACCCCGAGGTGACTCTGAGGGGACCCCCAGGTGACCCCAAATCCCTCCTGCAGCCCAGGACAGAGGGACAGGAGGGCTGGGGACAGTGGGGACAGCGCTGTGGGGCTGGGGGACCTCTGGGAATGTGACATCCCAGCAGGACAGGGGGACGGGACCACGGCCACCGAGCCTGGGAGACCCCGAGGTGACCCCAAACCCCCATCGCACCCCAAAAACGGAAGCCCGGGAGAGTCCGGGTGGCCACGGCCGCTTACCGTGTTGCCCAAATTCCTGAGGCCGACGTGTCCCGATCCCAGGAGCAGCGTGTGATGGGTCTGCGGGGACATGGAGCGACACCCCGTGAGCCGCGCCCCGCCTGCCCCGTCCCCTCGGCCGCTCCCCGGCGGTGGCTTCACCTCGCCGGTGACCAGCAGCAGCCCCATCACCGCCGTGTGCACCACGGACTCGGAGATGTCGGTGGCCCGGCCCTGGAGCTCCCGCCGGGTCACCAGGGAACGCTGCAGCTTCCTGGGCAGCTCCACCAGCGTGGCTCCCTGCAGCCCCGGCATGGTGGCACCGGCTCCGGGTGACACCGGCTCCGAGTGACACCGGCTCCGGGTGGCACCGGCTCCGGGTGACACCGGCTCGGGGTGACACCGGCTCGGGGTGACACCGGCTCCGGGTGACACCGGGGTGACACCGGCTCCGGGCTGGCTCCGGGGTGACACCGGCTCGGGGTGACACCGGCTCCGGGGTGGCCGCAGCGGCAGCGATGGCACCGCTGGCAGCCCCCGGTGTGTCCCCCCAGCCTCTCCCCGTTCAGCTCATTAGCTGATCCGATTCCCCCGGCTATTCTGGGCCGAGCGGGACGCTCATCCCGGAGGGATTAATTAGCCGGAGCTGCCCCGGGGGAACGGCGAGAGCTCGGAGGGGCGCGGAGGTAAACACCCCTCAAAAAACCCCTCCTCGCTTTAAATCCAGGGGTTTCGGGGCTTTGGGAAGCTCCGTGTGAGCGCTGGGGGCGTCCCGAGGGGGGACGAGGCGGTGGCTCCGTGTCCCGCTGGGATTTTGGGGATTACGATCCCCCCACACGTGGCCGGGCAGGTGCGGGCTGGGGCGGGGGGAGAGGCGGATGCGGAAACGGGGAGGGCAGCGGCCACCCCCGGGTCACACCGGTCACCTGTGGCCACCCGTGGCCACCCCCCGGGCCACACCGGTCACTCGTGGCCACCCCCCGGGCCACACCGGTCACCCCCGGAGCCACATCGGTCACCTGTGGCCACCCCCGGAGCCACACCGGTCACCTGTGGCCACCCCCGGAGCCACATCGGTCACCCCCGGAGCCACACCGGTCACCCCCGGAGCCACACCGGTCACCCGTGGCCACCCCCGGGCCACACCGGTCACCCGTGGCCACCCCCGGAGCCTCCAGAGCCGCAGGGATGGCAGCGGCCACCGCCAGCCCCACCTGGGCTGTGGGGGACAGCAGCGACCCCCCCAAGAGACGTGGGACTGGAGAGGGGACAGGTGAGAACGCCACCACTGTCACACCCTGGCGGTGTCACCGACCCTGAGAGCAGAGAGAGCGCGGGGGGCTCAACACGTCCCCAAAGCTGGGGACACTGTGGGGGTCTGAAAATGTCCCCAAAGATGGGGACAGGGTGGGGGGCTCAACACATCCCCAAAGCTGGGGACACTGTGGGGGTCTCAAGATGTCCCCAAAGCTGGGGACACTGTGGGGGTCTCAAGATGTCCCCAAAGCTGGGGACACTGTGAGAGTCTCAAAATGTCCCTGAAGCTGGGGACACTGTGGGGGTCTCAACACGTCCCCGAGGCTGGGGACACTGTGGGGGTCTCAACACGTCCCCAAAGCCGGGGACACTGCGGGGGTCTCAACACGTCCCCAAAGCTGGACACACCATGGGGGTCTCAACACGTCCCCAAGGCTGGGGACACTGTGGGGGTCTCAACACGTCCCCAAAGCCGGGGACACTGCGGGGGTCTCAAGATGTCCCTGAAGCCGGGGACACTGTGGGGGTCTCAAAATGTCCTCAAAGCTGAGGACAGGGTGGGGGTCTCAACACGTCCCCGAGGCTGGAGACACTGCGGGGGTCTCAACACGTCCCCAAAGCCGGGGACACTGCGGGGGTCTCAAGATGTCCCTGAAGCCGGGGACACTGTGGGGGTCTCAAAATGTCCTCAAAGCTGGGGACAGGGTGGGGGTCTCAACACGTCCCCAAGGCTGGAGACACTGCGGGGGTCTCAACACGTCCCCAAAGCCGGGGACACTGTGGGGGTCTCAACACGTCCCCAAAGCTGGACACACCATGGGGGTCTCAACACGTCCCCAAGGCTGGGGACACTGCGGGGGTCTCAACACGTCCCCAAAGCTGGACACACCATGGGGGTCTCAACACGTCCCCGAGGCCGGGGACACCGCGGGGCCCACGCCACCCCCCGGCCGCCCCCCCCCGAGGCTCTTACGGCGGCCGCCTTGTCCTCGGTCCGGCCGGGCGCGGGGCTGCCGGGGCCGTACGGGGGCTCGGTGCGGGCGCGGGGGCCGCCCTCGGGGCGCACGGAGAGCAGCGGCGGGGTGGCTTTGCCGTCGGGCCCGGGGGCCACGGTGACCCTGCGGAGCGAGGAGCTCCTGCGGAGCGCCAGCGCGCCCGCAGCCAGCGGGTGCCCGCAGTCCCTGAGCACCAAGCGGCTCAGCGCCACCGCCACGTCCTCGGCTCGGCTGGGGACACCGCCGCCACCTCCCTGGCTCAGGTCCCCGATGCTGATGGATTTGGAACGGGCCAGGTTGCTCCGGCGTCGCTCGGCAGCGCTGGGCAGCGAGAAGGAAGCGCTGCCCGGTACCTGCGGGGCACCCCCGGGCACTCGCACACCGTGATCGGCTTTCAGCGGCCCCCGGCGTCCCCCCGGCCCGCGGGGAGCCGCGTCCCCCCGCTTGGCCGCCCGGCCTCGCTCCAGCTCCAGCTTCTTGGGGCGGGGGTCTTCGGGGGGCGGCGGGGGCCGGGGAGGCAGCAGGCGGAGTTTGGGGGCCGGGGAGAGCCCGTTGGGGGTCGCATGGCGCTCCTGGCTCAGCGCTCGGTGGCCGCTGGGCAAGCGGGAGCCCGCCCGGGGCTGAGCGGTCACCACGGTGTCCCTGGAGCGGCCCAGGCGGTGCTCCGAGGCCTGGGGCATGGCGGGGCCTGCGGGGACAGCGGCGACAGCTCGGTGACAAGGCGACAGAGCCGCGGGGAGGGGAGGTAAAACGGGGAGGGGGCAGCGGGACCCACCTGCTCACAGCCCCCCGAGCCCGGCGGCCGGACACAGCGTGCCGTCGGCGGGGGCCCTGCGGAGCGGGGAGGGTCGGCAGGGGGGACCCCAAAACCTCGGGGGGATCCCCCGGATGCGTTCCCGGCGGAGCTGTGGGCGCTGCTCCCCGAGGTGAGAGGGGTGTCGGTGCCGGGGGTACCCCGGGGAGGGGATGGGGTGGTCCCGGAGGGGAGGAGGACAAACCCCACCCCGGCCTTGGGGAAGGGCCCGGAGAGAGGGGAGGGGGGGGCAAAGCCGCTGGAAAAGCCCCCAACCCCTGCCCAGCCCGCGACCCCCGGGCTCAGCCCCCTCCTCCGCAGCTCCCCCATCCCGCTCCGGTCCCCTCCAGCCCCTGCCCAGCGCCCCCCGCCCCAACCCGGGGCTCCCCCAAAAGGGGCTCCCCCAAAAGGGGCTCCCCGCAGCCCCCCTCCCCAAAATCCCCCCCAAAATCACCCCCG